GAGGGTTTGCTTCCTCGCTGTCGGGGGGGGGGGGGGGGGGGGGGTAGGGTCGGTCCCCTTGCAATCATTTTGAAACAGAGCCTGTAGGACGATTTCCCTGCCAGACCAGGGAGAGTCGGTCTTCTGCACCAAGAGGACAGGATCACAGCTAGATTCACCACCAGGTCTCAAGCTTGACAAGATCAAGATGGGAGCAACTCACCCTCCAGCGACCAGAGGTAATGTTTGATAGTCTCCAGCTCCTTCTCCATGTCTCCTGGGATGCCACCTGCATTCTCTGAGGGGACAACACCAAACTGAACCAGCAGAACAGTGACATCCTTTGTCATGCCAGCCCTCACTATCTGAATGGTAGGGATGAAGGTCACCAGGAGCAGCACAGCCACCTGCAAGCCAAGAGCTGGGTGAGCACTACATGCGGGATATTTGGAAGGGCACTCATCTGACATGCACCAGTAACAGGTTCCCCGACTCTTGTTTGGATACTCTCCCAGAAGGGTTCATCCTGGAAAGTGCCACACATTGAAAGCAGCAAGAGGGCAGTGGGCAGAGACCAAGCCAGAGAGGAAGCAGCACAGTCACCAGTCAAGGATGCAGACCAGGGACCATCTCATCGTGCACTACACCACTGAGGCCAAAGGACTTAATTCTAGCCTCTTGCTTTCTACCCCAGAAAAAGGCACAGAAAACATACCAGTCCTTGATAATGGAAGAAAACCGGTGCCAGATCCATCTACTACCATGGTTGGGCTTCAGGGCACCAACAGGAACCTTGCTGTAGTTGGGAGGAGACTCCCCTGGTACGAGATAGGCCTCAGCAACAGTTGCATGTGAGCTTGTGTTGCTGTAGGCAGGAGTGAGCCTTAGGGGACCAAGCAGCCCACCACAGATCCCAGAGGTTAGTCCTCCTTGCTCTCTAGGGGTCAAGTAACAGACATCCTTCTTGCAATCCCATAGGTGACTTCCTTTGTACAGCCTCAAGCCATAGGATGGGCTCAGAAGAATCTGGCAGTGCAATATGGCCACCAGGTCTTGCTTCTCCACCCATGTAGGATACAAAAGCACAAGCACTGGGAACCCAAACATGGATGGACCTGCCAGCCTAGGCTCAGCTGGTGCGTGGCTATGGAGTTACCTGATAAACAGCAATGACAGCCATGGTAACAGAGAGAACCAGCTTCAGTGGGATCTGGAAACCTGCAAGTCCAGAATCACAAGTGTTGGAAAAGGGCTTCAGAGCCTTATAGCAACAGCGTGAAGCATTACCCAAAAGGCATCCCATACCCCCCTTACTCCCTTCATCTGTATCCCCTGTCCCTCTGCATCCTTCTATCTGTACCTCCATTCCTACATAGTCCCAGGTCACTCCTGCCATCTTTCTGCAGTGGGACCTAGCACCCAGTTCATCCACTGGACCCTCTGGCCCTGTCCATCAAACAATCCATTCAGCTCAGCCTGTTGAGCCCTGGCAAGGCTCTTGCTTCTCCCCCAGCTCCTACCCTTAGTTTAGCTTCCACCCCTCTTTGGTGTCAGCCCCTTCTACCAGGCTTTAGCCATCCGAGCCTAAGCTTATCCTGGCTTCACCCTCACTGTCATGGCTTTAGCCCTCCCAGCCTCGGGCCAACTTTTCCAGCCCTCTGGGGCCCTGGGTCCAGCACAGTTGCTGTTGCTCTGTCCCAGTATTCAGCCACCCAGGTCTCTGACCCCAAGCTGGGCTGCTTTCCCTGCCTGTGGCCTTAGCCTTCCCAGCCTTGATCCAACTCATCCAGCCCCCTCAGTTCAGCAAGGCTGCTGCACCTCTTCACCAGCCCTTGGCCCTCTGGGTCCTTCACTGGCTCTCCCAACCTTAGTCTACCACATCTGCACCAGCCCTCTGGGTCCTCAAGCCCAACCTAGGCTGCCTGTCCCAGAGTGCACCACCATCTCCCCCTACAGCCACAATTCAGTCCTCTGGCATCGAGCTTAAATCACAACAAACACAAGCAAGCAGTTTCACAACTAAAATCCACCCCACTCTGGGTCACTGCCACACTGCAAGCCATAAGTACCCCTTAGCTCTCTCCTTCCAGCTCTGTGGGACAATTCAGGCACCTGCCAGTCTGTCTCTGCAGCCATCTCCCTCAGGAGCATCTCTCCCTGCAGCATGCACGGCCAGACCGCCCACTTGGTCTCAGGCACTGGGCTTGCATGCCCCCAAATCCTACCCCTTCTTGTCAAATGTGGCTTCCCAGCCACGCACAGGTACTTCCACTTGGGCTTAGTGGCCAGCTTATCCTCCTCTGCTGCAGCTTAACCCAACTGTTTGCAGCCTTTACTTCTGGGCTGCCTGGATGTCTGCCCTTTAGCTGCGGATGCCAACAGCTGCACAAGTCAACTTTCAGTTTCAACACTGTTGGAGATGTGTAAAGGCCAAGCAGAAGAGCTGGCAGTTGGAAGAGAAATACTTAAATCTGGGTCTATTGGTATTGGTGGTGTTGATTACGTCTTAAGTTGTATTCTTGGAATCCAAACTGAACTGAACAAGTGGCAAGTGCTCCTTGGGTATCTCTGTCTTATAGACAGACTCTTACTGGAATATCCTGGTGAATTTTATCCTCATATTGTTAATGGGGAGATCTTACAGGCCGACACTGTAGTAGACAGGTATAAGCAGCTGTTGTCCCTCTTGAACTTTGCCTTGCAGTCAACTGATAATTCCCACTGCAGCTAGGTCCTGGATAGTCACTCCAAGTGTTAGCTCTTATCCTTGCTGTCCCTGGTCATTATCTAGCAGCTAGCCTGTACCTAGATGCTGGCCCCAAAACAGCAAGCTTGGCCTGCTGCACTCTCCCCTTAAACAGGAGCTTCTGCCTCCCTGTTACACATCCATAGCATCAATCCATCCATCCATAGTTTTATAATCTCTGTCATTCCCTTTTCCATAGCCCATCCAAGGATATGCCCTCTTTTCATCCAATCTCCCCCCTGCCACCCCCGAGTCTGTGGGTGCAATGGTTGTCAACTGAACCACAGAGCAGAAGGATGGTTCAAGATTTGTCAACACACTTCCCTGTGGTTTGGCTGCCCATCCGTGCTGTGCCAACAAGAGGAAATCTAGTAGCGGAGTGCTCTTTCAGCACCCTGATTTTCATTTCAAGGATGACAGTTTGTGCAAAAATCGAGGTGTTGTGTGCGTCTAGTATGGCAGCTGTCATAGCACAGATGCTTGGGAGAAAGAGCCAAGAAACACAGTTGCTTCATGTGGGAGGAAGTCTGGTCGCTGGAAGCCTAATATGTCTATCAGAAGATCTTCTGGTACATACCTTCCTGGGGAGTATACATATAAGAGTACAAATATGCCTGGACCTTTGACAGGAGACTTGCTTTGACTTTATCAGAGCTGGAAAGGAGAAAATTACAATAAGCAGAGGGCAAAAAGCATTTGAACACAAGCATTTCTTGCTTTGTAAGTGTGTGGTAGCCAGCAATAAAATAGCCCACCTCTTAATGACTAGTCCTAGTGATGCTATTAACTCAGCTCTGCCAATACCTCCTTCAGTGCTAGGCTCCCCACATGCAGCTGTTCTTGAAGGCCCTTCAGACCTGTAGCCACCCTCCCCCTACTACTCCAGGACTCATTCAGTTTAAAGTAACTTTGTTAAGAACAGTGTTTTCAGGCTCAAAAACACTGACAAGGTCTTATTCAAGGTTAAAAAAGAGACATCATTTCTAGCATTAAGAAAAGGACTAGGAACATAGGAATGGAAGGGCCTACCAAGGCACCAAGTCCGGTCCCCTGCTTTGAAGGTAGCCACATTATCCTTCTCAAACAATTAAAAAGTATTTTAAAAAGCCATCAGTGTCACCCCTGTATAATCTGTTTGAGTGTGTATGTGTGTTTGAGGCTGCCAAAGACCGCTTCACCTCGATGAGTTAAAGGCTTTCAGTGTTCTTGCTCTGAATTGTAATAGAAGTGTCAGAGCCTCGTGGTCCCCCTTTCACCCGCTCCAACCCCAAGCACCATTTGTGAGGACGTACCGGTTGCTTTTCCACAGCCAGCCAGCTGGGAAATGATAGGGCAGAGTTTTATCTAGGGGATGAGGAAAAACCCGAATTTCAGCCTTACCTTTTCCTTTGCGGTTTTTTGGCCAAGATATTCTTCAGGTATCTCTTATAATAGCCACTCCCTGCCAGCTAAAAAGGAAGCAGCACAAGAGTCTACTTATTTGGATACAGGTCGTGATGAGATGCTAGAAGTTAGTACTGTGGTTTTCAGAAATCAAGTGGTCTGCAGAGTATTTAAGAAGAGATGCCCCTCACCCCTTTTAATGGGAAGGAAGGATGCCAGCTCAAGCAATAGACACTTGTAACTGGTTGTAACCCAGTTCAACTCCCACCCCTTATTTTTGCCTTCCCATTACAGCCACTTGGCTGGGAAGGGGTCAGCTACTGACCCAATGAGGATTCTCCAGCCAGGACAGAGGCAAGTCAGTGTAGGTATTGCCTGTAAAATATCTCCTAGAACAAGGGGGGTGAGCTGGGGGGACCAACACTATTATTCCCCAGTATTTTCAGCCAACTGGATGGCCCTTGATCACTTCTGTCACCTAGTGAAGGCCAAACCAGGAGCTGTTCAAGTCAAAGCAGCATGGAGTTATAAACCAAGCACCTAGCAGCCTGCACTGGGCTTTTGTTGGTCCAAATGATCCAACCCCCACATTTCACAGTGAGGGTTTCTAACCAAATAGGTTTCTCTTTGGATGGCCCTGCCTGCCTGAATTTTAAACCAGACCACATGTGAGAGTGCAGTGCTATTACAAGCAGTGTCGATGCTTGCAAAAGAACAAAAGAGGTGGGAGTGAACACACTAACCCAGGGAACAAAGCAAAAAGTAGCATGAAGGCAAGATATGGGGTGAAGTGAATGAATCTAGAGCAACCAGCCTATGTGAGAAGGATTACATTTTTATCCTAACTCCCCAAGCCTTCTCCAGTGATGCTTTTCCACCCTCCTAGTGACTACTTCTTTACTGAAAGGAAAAAGGGCCCAGTAGTTACAGCATCTGTGTAAGACCTGGGTTTGAGATCCAGGTCAGGGTCTCCAGTCACGGGAGTCCTAGGAATGGCAAGAGGTGCAGAACACCTAGGTCTTACTTGTCCACACACATGAAGAGCCACCAGTCAAAAGCCAGGAGCTGCCTCCTACAGGAATCACTGCTAAAATAGGTTTGGCCTTATCTGCTACTGTCCCCCCTGCTGGCAACTGAAAGCAGTCTTGCTGGTGGAGACTTAAAGGGAAAGACTAGGGGTGCTACATGCAACAAGTGGCTCATGGTTTATCACAGGGAGGTCTAACTGGTACCCTTGTGTGGCAGGGCACTGCGTGCCTGCCACTTTAAGGCCCTGGAGCTGGCAGCCGCCAGGTGCCTAATGAGGGCAGCCATTTTTGGTTCAGGGCTGCCCATATAAACAGGCCAGTTTAGCTGCAAGGGGTCAGGTGACAACACCGCCTGGCCAGAGGCCTGCTGAGTTTCAAACGGAGGTTTGGGTGAGGCTATCAGGGGTTGGAGCCCTCATCGCCACAGCCACGTGGAGACCCCAGCCCCAGAGAGGGGGGCAGCATTGATGAACGCCCAGTGAGGCACCCAGCGAAGCAGGGCCACAGAGAGCCCAGGGAGGACAAGGGGGCCAGAGTGTAGGGCCCAGGGGGTGGACCCTTAGAGAGAGAGGGGCTAGAGACTTAATACTGATCAAGAGGGAGTACTCTCGACTGGCCCATGCTGGGGCCAGGACCAGACTGGTCAAAAGGGCCCTGTGAGTGATGCCCAAGGGCCAGGGGTTCTGACTGGCCTGGAGGTGGGCCAGGGCTGGTAGCCAAAGGTCCCAGGGAGACCACACCCAAAAGGGGAAAATGGCTTCAGTGAGCTACATAGCCTGTATGAAGGCAGATGAAGCTGCCTGATGAGAGGACTCTAGGTTGGGGTTCAATCAGAAGGATTCTGGGGCCCGGTGTGCAGCCGGTGATGACAGGAACACCTAGGTGCCATCTGCGAGGCTTGGGTTGCGGTGTAGGGAAGGAATGGAGCCATAGATACTGCCCTTGTGCATCGGGGCAGCGAAATGGGCAGCCTCCCACTTAATTAACATCTTCTAATTAAGCAATTAACAACAAGGCATGGCAGGTGAGAAGGAGGCAGTTGGCCCATCGCAGGTGGGTAGGGTCACCAGTGGACAGACCCTGAAGAGGCACACTGGTCACACCCTGCCACATGATGCCTCCCTGCAACACAGGCAGCCTAAACTGATCCCTCCACAAGAGCTTCCTCATGCCACCAGTGCTGCACATGCAGTATGAGCACCCCACTGACACCTGTAATTCAAGCCACCCTACTACCCCCCACACCACTACTATACAAGCCCTCCCATCACGCTGCTCTGCCTCGGAGATCCTGTCCATCACAGCAGCAGGAGCTACACAGGGAGTGGCAGGAGCTCCAGGACCACACACTAGCTTGTCTCCAATCAGAAAGCCCTGGTTCATCATCCTCCATTTTCTCTCATACAATATCAGCCCCCCTCCCCCAAAAAAATCAGCCCTCCAGAACTGGGGTGCACTTATAAAGAGAGAAGCTAATTTTCTGCCCAAGATAGAAGCACCCCACTTTGATTCATGATCTGCAGTGCAGCAGCTGTGGTATTATTACTCTTCAGGCAGTGAAGAAAAATCAATTGACTTGATGGCTCAGGTGTGAACTATTGCCTCCCCTTTTTAAGAGTCATGATGTTTCATTAACAGAGCTAACTTTTCTTAGGGCAATTTTTCTGTCTACTAGCTGCTCCTGATCTCCTTCCTCTCATTTCACAGCCTAAGCAGGAAAAGGAGAGTGAATCAGTTGAGGATTAATTTTTGTCCCTACTATATGCAGCCATAACTCTAGAATGAAGAAATTTGTGGGGGTGTTTTGTTTTTTTAAGTGAAACAAAGGATTAAAGAGGTTTTACACCTTTTTTTCCCCATTTGTGGATCTCAAAAAAAAATCCAAATGGAGGTGTGGACCCCTCAAAATTGTAAGTGAGGGCAATTCAGAAATTTCTGATGGACTATCATCATCTTTCATGGACCCCTTAGTCTGTGGACCCCCATGGTCCACAGGTTGAAAGCCACTGTTCTAATTCTAGGCCATGTGGACACACTGACAGGGTATGCACACCTGGGCTATGTACATGCCCAGCTATGTAGTAGTGTCCAAGGCTCAAAAATGTAGTCTGACTGAAATCTATGACTAGGGAGCATTAGACTCTGGAGAATGGTGCTCCTATATTTCAGCCACGAATAGACAAGTGGCTAGGGCACTCAACTAGGAAGCTGTCTTTGCCCAGAGTAGGGTTTGAACTTGAGATCTCTGATTTTCCAGCACAGTGCTCTGCACCACCACACCACAGCTCAAGCATTGGTTAAGTCTTTCTACACTGGTTTTGAAAATATCCCATTGGACAGCCACTAAGGAAGAAGTACATCAATCTGGGGCCAGGAGGTAGACAGCAAGCCAGAGGGTGTGAGGGCACTGCTAGGCTGGCAGGGAGGGGGCTCTGGGTTGTAGCCTGGAGTCTTGTTCTTATAGCAAGGAAGACCCCCATCCCCCTTGCTATCCTCCATCCTTCCCCCCACCTCCCCCGTCACTACTCTCTATCCTTTCCCAGCCACTCCCCACCCCAAAAAAACCCCAAAGCCACCTATAAGATGGAAAGGGCAGAGGCTCAGCTTCAGAAGATGAACAAATAAGAATTTACACAATGCCCAACCTGTGATACAGCAATTACAATACTGTGCTGGGAAGTCAGGGATGCAGGTTTAATGCCCCTCTTGGCAAGGGAAGGAAGGGGGACTAGAACCTAGGTCTTTGGCTTCCCAGTAAGTGCTCATCACTCAGCTATTGGGACTAAAACATGGGAGAGCCCAGGTCCTCCACCACCATTTTGCCACCAATACACATACATGTTGGTTGTCCACCTGCATAGAATTGCTACCTGCACTTAAATGCCAAAAAATGCCATGTAGAACAGCCACTTAAATGACTATCAAAAATTACAATTCTCATACCCGACCTGGTCTGTCCCACATACATAGATCCGCCCCCATCCCTTGCCCCCCCCGCCCAACAAAGGTACAAGTTCATAAATTTTGAGTTGCTACTACTGTACCAATATATAGAGAAAAGTGCAAGTTCCTAACACTTATCTTGCAGGATTTACAACAACTTGCCAGAGTGAATTCAAGAGGAAGCTGTAACACATTACCTCTGTAGCAGCATTTCTCTCCTTTGCAAAACTTCTGATGAGCAGCATTGGATACCAAAGGCTCAGGACCACAAGGCAGAAGATAACAGGGACATAAGACAGCAGGGAATAATACCTGTAGATCTGCAGAAAATGGGACAGCTGAGAAGCACGATATCCCTACCCAACACTCAATAGGCTCTAACTTATCTAGTAAAGCAGCTTTGCAAGTGAGGTCCTCAAGACAGGGCGAGCCACAGAAGCAGGTCTTAATGGTCTCCACCAGTCCCATAGATTGGTGGTGCCCAACCTTCTTGCCCAGTGGACTGGACTGACTGAGCACTGCCCATCCACAAGCCAGAGCCAGCTCATGGGGCAGGCATGGAGGAGGGCAGGGGTTGAGCATTCCTGTCATAGGGAGTTGGGAAGTTCATAAGACAGAATTGGCAAAGAAAGTCTCTATCCTTCTAACCCAGATCACAGAAAAGCCAGGTAGGCAAACTTTTCTGGCTGTAGGATGGAATAATCCACCCGAGTCAGAGGCAGGTGGGGGGTGCTAGGACCTGGCTATCTCTACAGCAGCACAGGGAGTGTGCACATAGCTAAAGCCCCTCAGTGTCAAATGCTGCCAAAGCCCCACAGCCATGGGCCTGATCCAGTAGCTACATGGGCCAAATCTGGCCCAAAGGCCCTAGGCTGCCAGCCACCAGGTTAGGAGGTTGTAAAGCATCTTAGATGGGAGCCTCATTACAGGTGACCACACCATGCTTTCCATCAAGTGGGATCCAACTTGGGGATAGTTATCCCAGCTTCAGGCACCAGCTATTCATGCCCCACTCCTTTTCTACCTTCTAGCAGACCTCTTCAGCAACTGGCAGGAGTGGGCAAGAAAAACAATTTATTTGCCTTTACCTTGGATGACTGAGGGCAATCCACTTTCTGCCAAATATGGACCACACAGTGGCACCAGGAGAGCAAGCAGCCCATGAGGTACCCAGCTCTGTGCCGGACTGTGGCACATGCAATTAAAGGATAGTAGAAGGCAGGGTAATAGAGCAAAGCCATGATCTTCCAGTACTCTAGAACAAGGGTTGGGGAAGAAAAAACAACATACAAGGGCACAGCTCTCAGTATGGACAAGGATTAACAGGCAAAGCAATGCGCTTTTGTACTGCATGGCAGGTTAGAAGATGCCAAACCACCCAAAGCTGGGAGTAGACACCCAGTCCAAGCCGATATAAAAAGGACATAGCCATTTAACCAGCAACTGCAGCTCCCTTCCCTTCCACCATCACCCAAACAAATCCCTATTAGCCAACCGCATGCAGGATGCCCCCTGAAAGATCTTAACTAAAATGAGGCAGCAGCACTAAATTTCAGTCTCCACACTAAAAAAAAAAAAAATCAAGGTTCTTGCCTTCCAGCTTCAGCTCATTTTGGCTAATTAAACATAGTATGTTTAGAGAAGGTGAGGGTCAGCAAGCTTTTAGGAGCAGCAGCCCAAATAATACACTTTAGTCCAAAGTCAGGTCTTCGCTTGCAACCTGAATGGCAATTCCCCCAGCTGCTGAAATGCCACCAAGAGTCCCAACACGGTGGGCCACATTTCTGACCTAGAGAAACATGTGGATCAGTTTTCAGAGTACTGAATGCCTAGAGTTCAGACGGGCTAAGTTGTGGCCCACGCGACTTGTCCACATGACTAGACAACCCACACTCTGCTGCCCACCACTGAATTTGAGGTCTTCAGCAGTTGCTGAAAAGTCAAATAAGTGGCAGACAAAGAGGGAGCAGGGCAAATGCCTTCACTGTCATTCACCCACTAGGCTCTGGAGCCACACCAACAAACCAGTCCCCCCACCAAAAGGTGGGTCATCTGGCCTGCAGAACCACAGTCCCGCCACCAAAAGGTGGGTCATGGGCTGGACTCAGCCTGCAGAGCCATACAAAGTTGGATGCCTCAGGTTTAGAGGAAGGTCTACCCTTTCACTTCTCATCAAAATCAGATTTCACTGATACCAATACAAACAAGGGAGTGATAATTCATTCCCAGAGATAGACAAAGCAGAACATCCCCACAAAGACTGGTCCAATCTGAAGCAATACAGCCTTCCTGCCTGGGTCCTTTCCAAGCTACAGTGTCCTATAGGAGGCTCAAAATGGTCCTACTTTGATGTAGCAAAACAGCAAACTGGAAAAAAAAGTCAGTAACATGGTCTTACTGATGCTTTTGCCAGACAAAATACAGTATAATTAGGCCAACCTTTGCCCAAGTGAGCCAAGAGTGCTAAAACACTTAGTAATATAATTTGGGGAGGGAGGAAAGATGTGCCCCCGCCCTCCCCCCAACTCTCAAAGAAAAGAATTTGATTAGCATCTGTCACTGAGGAAGAACTTTAAAACCCTGAACTGGAAATCTGTGATTAACTGGAATGGACTATGGAAACATCCATAGTTTCCAGTGGGCCTGACTGACTGCTTCAGATTTACCACCACACACATCCTGATGGACTCTTGCACAATAGCAGCTGTGTTACCTCGATTGTGCTGAGAGGAGTCGGGGATGAAAGGCAGGGGGTCCTTATCCAACACCAGCACACAGAGAGAGGAGAAGAGGATTCCAAACACCGCAACCACCAGCCCTTGGTTTCCCTCTTCCTCCAAGAGATTCACAGGGCTGAAACCATCCAGAAAAGGGAAAGTCTAGATTAGAACAGACAAGGCATTCCCTTACCGGCCCACGGAGCCCCTTCACCTGCTGCACTGGGCACTGTGGTTTGGGACCCCACTCGCCACCCCCATCTCCAGGAGACAAACCATTAATACATCCAGGTAACAATTTCCTAATCCCAGCTATTTCAAAGGCTCTACTGGGAGGTTAGTAGGTTGTACCCATTTCCAATTCAGCAGCAGTGCTAAACAACAAAATACATAACAGCAGACAGGATTAAGTCCTCCCTGTGCTCCTTGCTCAGAAATGGAGCTCCAGACTTCATTGGTCCATGGAAATCCACTATGCTTCCAGGACCTGCCCCAAGTTACTGCTGTGAAGCCAATTAGGGGGTGGATAATTCTTATTTCCACTTTACTATAGGGGTGCAACAAGTACATTTAGAGAATTTATAGTTTCCAATAAGAGGAGTAACAGACCAAGGAATGGTGAACCAGGTGGAAAGGAGAACAAGAGATGTTCTTGGCATCATAGGCATTTAAGCAATAACCTGGGCCCACTCCATGAATAATGGCAGTTCACTCACCACCCTTTGGTCTATGCAGCAAGTATCAAGCTCAGCCAAGCGCACAGTTTGAAGAGGCCAAATAGGAGTAGTACAAGCAAAAGTCTGAGACATAGAAGGATTCCCATGAGAAGGGTCCAGATACTGGTAGAATTAAGTGGTATTCCATAACTAGGAGGGGGGAATTAGTTCTTCTGGCACCACACACCTCAACCACCACGCATCAAGGGCACAATGAGGTTCCCTTTGCAGCAACACTGAAGGGGTTTTAATGGCTTTTTTTAATTAAAAAATTAGCCCAAAACCTTCCAGGCAGCCTCTACCAACACAGTGCCCAAAATGGGACTGGCAACCAGGACAAACAGTTACAACAACTCAAACAGCTATTGTGGTCGTCACTGGTAGGTGCTGAAGGACATAAGTTGCCTCACACACTTGTGGGTCAACCTCCTTCGGGAAGAAATATAAAGAGGTAGTAAAAACACAAGACTGGAGGAGAAGGTTCAGAGGTTATACAAATATAAGCACACTTTTTTGTTGTAGGCCTCACTACAATATCAATATCAACCATTGATCATTTGTTGTTTTGATCCACAGATGCATCTTGAGCAGGTCCAAGGAGGTGATCCTCCCCCTCTGTGCGGCACTGGTCAGGCCGCAGCTGGAGTACTGCATCCAGTTCTGGGCACCGCACTTCAGGAGAGATGTGGACAACA